TTTAAAATAAACGATTTTTAGTTTTAAATGTAATATTTCTTTTAATTGTCATTGGCTGAAAAGAAATTATTATTGTCACAGAATTCAGAATAAAAAAATAAAAACCTCTTTGGTTATTTTTTTTATTAATGGCTTTTTTATAAATGGGCCTGCTTTAAAGGCTGAATTGTGAAGTTGCCTTTGCCTAAATAGAGGCTAAAAATACGGTTTTTATGGGAACAATTATGTATTGAAAGCTACAAAATGTTATTGTGTTTTATTATACGGATAATGACTATATAATAATAATATTTATCCTTTAAAATGTTATTTATAACATTGTTTTCATTAATAGCAATTAAATTAAAATAATTTACATGGGATTTGTATGTTAAATTCTCCGTCCGTTTGTCTAAATTCTAAACTCGAGAAATTTCCTTTATAATTAATTATTTTACTTCAAAAGTAAACTAGTAACACCTTTTATATAAACTTTCGAAATTAATAATAGATTACTAAACCAGTGTTAGTTAACAAGCAAAACAATACTATTTATTAATTTAAAAACGTTTACCATTATATATATTTGCATAAAACGACGCCATTTTGTATTTGAACTTTATTATACTAGCAAGATGTCTGAAGCTACATTTCTTAACAAAACATTGAGACGTTTAAATTTAATATTTCTCGCTATTGGAATAAATTTGGAACATAAAAAATGTAATCGATTGACAAAAATAAGAACAAGATGCGTTTATTTTTTTAATTTAATTTGGCTGAATAGTGACGTGGTCGGTGCCATATTGCATTTTATGAACGATCTAAAAGACGGTACTGATTTGACAGAAATGACTTATCTGGCGCCATGCGCGATGTTGAGCGTAGTTGGAATATTTAAATCGTTCTTTTTAATATTCTATGAAGATAATATTAACGATTTAATTGATAATTTACGATTACTGGATGAAAAAACTAATAAATATACGGTTACTATGAAAAATAAAATTGAAAAAGACGAAGGAAAATTCGTTAATTGCGTAATAACATTATTGAACATTTTTAATATTTGTGTCGTATTCGATTTTACGTTTACGCCTATTATAAAAATTGTGAAAAATTACATGTCTAGTGGGGAAATCGAGTTGGTTCTTCCACATAAAGTTGTCTACCCATTTGATCCGTTTGACATCAAATATTGGCCATTTGCGTTCTTTAAACAGAGTTGGTCAGGTAACATACATTTTTTCTATTAATTTTATATGTATTTTATAAATATAGTTAATCCTAAAATAGTGTACAAAGGGGATAACGGAGTTATGTATTCTTAGATACGCCTCTTTGGTTGAATGTTGAAATCTGAACTCAAGGGACCATTAATTCTAAAAGATGATTGGTGAAAATTGCTATGATACTTAGATTAATTACAACTTTGATATCTTGTGTGTGCACTTTGTTGATTAAACTATCGCACAACTGTTTAGTCGCACTTTGATTCCTATGAGCTAATATGGAGGTACACTACTCGATTTTTAGTTGTGCAACTAAACAGTTAAATTGGCTGCGAAACAATCGACAATCGCACAACAGTTGTGCGTTTAATCAAATGTTTGCGTGCACTCTAACTATTATTTGGTTAAAATGTGTCCCTTTGATATTTTCAGAATGTATAGTACTTCTGGAAATGTGTGGAGCAGATTATTTCTACTACATTTGTTGTACATTTATTAGAATTCAATTTCGTCTGCTATGTTACGAATTTGAAAACTTAATCCAGTCCCATCATAAAGATCACAATATAATTGGAAAAAGACTTAAAAAATTAATACAATGGCATCAAGATCTTATAAAGTAAGCGAAAATAATGGTTTGTTTACAGTTAACATTTACGAAAAACAGTACAGATTATAATTTAACCATAAATTTGTTATGAATTATTTTATGAACAAGTAACTGAACATATTTAGTTTTTCCAGATGTACGAGTACCCTAGATCTGATATATTCGAAATCAACGTTATTTAATTTTGTATCCAGTTCAGTGATTATTTGTTTAGCTGGCTTTAATGTCAAGGTACGTGTAATTATTAAATCAACTATTTCCAAAACAACTGGAAATAAACTAGACTTTGTGGGCAGCACAGGGCCTGACAGGGTGTAGAACAGAAAAGCCACTGAACATAAGACAGTCTTACATAATTCTGTTAAGTCATATAGACGTCTTGATAAAATAGAAGTCGTGGTAGGAAATCCGTACAGGGCGTTGGTAGCAAAAGAATCGCTACTGGATGGGGTTTCCTACCTTCAGCAGTGGAAAAATTACTTTAGGTTGATGAGGATGAACTAGATCTTATTTAAATTTATTTGAAAAATAGTCTATTTCACTTTAAAGTCAATAAATGTTGTGTGCTAACCTTTTTATCGTTGCTTCAATACGAAATCCCGTCTCAGGTCTTGGGTCTGTGGAAATAATATTCGTTTAATAAAATATAAAAAACACGGCTGGAATATTATACTTCGTAAAGGTTCTATACTAAATCATGCTTTTATATCTTTTGTGATAATATACAAACAGTAATCGTGTTACTGTTTAATGCACAAAACAATTTTGCTTCCTATTTTTTCAAAAGTTTGATTTTTCTAAAAGCGCCATTTTGTTTCCAGGCCACAGACAACATAGCGCTGGCCGTTACATTCCTAACGTTTTTATCAATGAACCTCTTTCAAATATTCTTTCTGTGCCTCTTTGGCGACATGATAATGAGGTCGGTAAGTAAGATGGTTAAATACCGGTTCCGCTAATATCATTTAAACGGTTTCATCAGGTGTTAACGGAAGTCGGGATGTTTAAACTTAGAACAGGTTTTTTTTGTTGTTTTAATTTCACAGAGTATGGATGTGAGCGATGCTGCTTATAACTGTCTATGGTATGCTGATCGTAATGTTGCCAGAGATGTTTTCTTGGTGCAAATTAGGTATTTATAAAATATATATCTCGTTATAATAAGGCTTTTTTTCTCCTTTTTTTTTTAACAATATGACATGGCAAGAAAAAAGTAGATACTTTCTGATTGTTCACTAAAAAGTTCAGAGGCTCGGTAACCCTTGTTATTAGAATTTCTATGCAGATCTAGAGTTATCTAGAAAAACTGAATATAGAATGTTCTCCCTACGGCACAAATTTTAAAGCCTACTGTTGTTCCAGAGCTCAAAATCCATGCAAGCTGACTGCATTTGGTTTTGCGGACGTCAATTTCATGTCGTTTAGTAGGGTAAGAAATTCCTAAATTACAGATTTTTGCTTAGGTACTGGTAACATCGTTTTCACGTTTTTAATTTATTCCAGATAATGAGTACTTCGTGGTCTTATTTTGCGCTTCTGAACACAATATACTGCGAGAATCAAGAAAATTGAATAATATTTTGCACATTAGAACAAATTATTTAAACAATAATTTAAAAAAATCTTTTTTAACTAAGTACACAAATTAAGACAATATGCTAGGCATAAATACACAAATTTATGCAATATTTTTCATTTATTCGCACATGAAATAAAATAACACTGAGAATCACAAAAATATAAATGAATAAAAAAATATAAATAAAAAGGAATGTTATTCTCGTACATGGCAACAACGATTTAAAATTCTGTAGCTCAAGTTGAACATCGAATAAATAACAATAACACACTGGCCGAAACGAAACCGACTTTTATTTCCGCATGAATACGAAAAACGAAGTTGAATCTATGACTCACGCCCGCTCTTGAAAAATGACCAAGGATTTATTGGCGCCAATTGTTACACACCACATCCGTTTATTCGGTGACATTTCAACACAGGATAAAAAAGTAAATAAAAACGTAACATTTGTCTTTTTTGAATATGGAATGTAGTAACTATTTTTTCTTTTTATTCTTATTGACCAATAACATTACAAGTCAACAATTTCATTTAATTCACAAACATCTTCAGAACAGAAAGTTCTTAGAAGAAATCATCAATCAATTCACGATACCGGTATTTTTCTTTCGTATCAAAATTACAAGCCTCAATCGCTAGTCCGAGCAAAAATTACAAAGATACCCAACGTCTTACGAACCGACATATTTTCGAAAACTAACCTTAAATTAATCCAACAAAAAATCCCGCCCCAGGTAGTCACGAATTCACATAGGCCCGTATAACACAAAAAAAGATCGTCATTTCCAAGAATTTTGCTTCTATACCTTTGTAAGAATTTTTTTGTTCACATCTTGTTACATTTCTCTTAACTCCTGTCAACTGATAATTTTAAACCCTAAGCACAGAGTAATAGAGTCTATTATTTAAATTAAATATTTACATTTCTTTAGATGGTTTACTTGGTATGTCAAAATTATTTTTGGATTTATTTACTATTTCTTTAGAAATGTACTGTGGCGCCTCATTTCTTGGATATTTCTACAAAGTTATACAGTTTAATTAGATTTCCTTTTTGCATGATATGTTTTTGTAAAAGTACATGTTTGAGATTCTCATAGTCATCAGCACAGTATACGTCCCTACTGAGGAGGTCAGAGCCTACCCTGAGCTAGACGTGACTACGCCATAGTCAACCACGTTGGTCCACTGCGGATTGTTAAAGCATATCTACCTAAGAATTTCTTCACCGATGCACGTTACATCACGATGTTTCTCTTCGTCTTAAGAACGTCGGGTAAATATAAATATGAAATTATAAAATTGCAATACTGTAGAATAACGCGTACACTAATAGTAATATTAAGTTACAATTAAATTACTCACGCTTAGTTCAAATTTTCAAATTGTTCCAAACTGGTTTTAGGCCAAACAAAGCAATTAAAAATAACTTTAATTAATTCACCTTTTAAATCACTTCAGTTTACTTATTTCGAATTGGCATCACCACAGATAATACAATACTATATTAGTACAAACAAACTGTTATTAACAAACAGTTTCAACTATATGTAAAAAGTAACAGTTATAACCATAACTGAAACATTTTGACATTTTAATAGCGTAATATAAATTACATAAACGTTTTTACAAGTATTACATCAGATTATATAAAAACTTTTTATGTTCTATGACTTGCACGCTACAATTAAGGAAATAAAATTGCGTGTTCGTTTAGTTGCCTAGATTTAAAATAACTCATAAAAAAATAGGAACGTTGCCTCGGGACTTTTGATGACAGGGCAAGTTTAATCGCCCAGGGCACTGGACTAAAGGATCGCAAGAGGTCTGCGAATTAAATTCTCATATATCCCAGTTAATCCCCACGATCGATAAAATAGGGGGCGTTGTAGACATCCCGCTCAGGGCGCTACGTATCAAAAGTAGTAAACACAATACTGAAAGTGAGAAATAGAATTTCAAAAAAATTGTGATAAAACGAGTTCAAATCTTACTCAAAGTATCTTTTTTGTCATTGCTCAGTTACTTTTTTCGGTATTTTAAAGAATGTTTTAGAAAAGAAAGTTTTACATGAATATTAAAGTTAGTTTAGGTCTAATTATTCTTTTTAAATTTACCTATAATAACCTATTAGACCCTAAAGTATTTTTACGTTATTTTTTACTCACTTAATTACTTACTGTTTCCTATTTTTTTTTTGTTTTAGAGTAGTAATTCCAATCAAGATTATGAAATAACAACACTATCTATCTATAAAGAAATATATAAGGTGTAATTAATTAAAATGTTAGCCATTAATCGATCTTTAAAATTGAAAATCTGAGAAACTTAAACTGTAAAAACTGTGTTATAATCTGTGGACGCGTCGAAACGTCGGTAAGACAGCCGTGCTGTTTTACCTACACGGCACTTGCGAACTGTCATGGCGTATTGTGGTGTACGTTTCTGTGCACAGTAAAACATAAATAATGATTCTTAGACGGAAAATACGTGAAATGTGCTTTAAAAATTACTGTGGCTATTCAAAAGTATCATGATTAATGTGTATTAGTGTAAATATACGTGACAATGGACAAGAAAAATGCTATTCGGAGGGCAAAAAGGCCTTCGAAGGCGTTAGAAGAAAATTATTGGGATTGTAGTGTTTGCACATATAGAAACAACGCGGAAGCTTTTAAATGCTCAATGTGCGACGTTAGAAAAGGTAATTTCATTAAATTTACTATAATATAACCCCCACGCCCTCTAGTTAAGTTTGAGGCAATGTCCGAGAGTCCTTCAAATATTTAGGTCGTAACAAGGGTTATTGAGCTGGTTTTTTATACGTAGACGATTTATTGAACGTTTGTTACGCATCTATAAATACAATCTTCTTGGTAAAAAGCGTTTAACTTATAATTTTATTCCATCTAATTTAACCATAGAGGAGAGATGTAACAACTAACTTGACTTTCTAAACTTATAAGAAACCTTTTAGTTTAAAATTCGAACATTACTAATTTGAAATAGACTTGACATTCATCATACTCATGCAAGTTTCATTTGTTACTATACTTTACTTAGTACTAATACTTTTCCTAAGTAAATTATAAATTGACCTAACACAAATTCCAGACATGCCTCGTAGTAAACAAAATTACTCTAAATAAATTAGTTCCTGTAAAATTCACACGGTTGGCGAGCGCTAGTAATGCGTATAACGCGACTAATTTAAAAACTCGAATTCAGACATACTGCCTACTAAGAGTGTATAGACTTCTGAAATTATTAGTGTTATAGTCGTTGACCTCCGTAACGTTGCATCTTGGTATAGGATGCAATATAAATGTGTTTATCTTACAAATTAGTCATGATAGGTAAGTGGTTGGGTGGTCAGAATATTTAAAGACTGAATATAATACAGTATGTAGGGTTGTCTTTGACAAGGGTCGCGAAAAGTGTTAAAAATGTACACAAATGCATGGTTTTAGGTTTTTTCTACACTACGAGTTCATAGTATAGTGTCCGGTTAACGCACTCGTGTCCTAAAGGTCGTTCATGTATTCGTAAGAATTCAATTGTTTTAATCTAATAGGATTTCTACGAATGTCAATCATACTTGGATGGATGAATGGATGGATGGATGGATGTTTGTTAGAGTTTGTAGCCTAAACGGCTGAACGGATTTAGATGAAATTTGGCATAGATGTAGAGGATAGTCTGGAAGAACACATAGGCTACTCACTTTTGTTTTTTTTTTAATTCCACGGACGGAGTCGCGGGCGATAAAAAGTCTAAAACTTGTATTAAATCATTACTATTCATAAATTTTTCATACAATTATAGTCAAATTTAATTGTATTCCCAACGTTTTCATACAAATGCAAATTTTGTCTATGTCGAAAATTCGCGCAAAATTTGTTTGTTCACATTTTGTCTAGTTAGAATACAAATTGGTAGGTACTCGTAGATTGAGGATAATGGCGATATAAACTCGAGTAGTGATCTCATCTCGTTTACTAAATAGTGTCAACTGTGTCCTATTTAGTCAGTCCATTGTTTTAAATTACTATTAACACTGCACTAAGATAAACATAATTTAAGTTCGGAATTCTTTCGATGCCGCTTTCTTAAGTTATCAACCCATTTAGTTATCTACAAGCTAATCACGACCGCCCGTTCGTAATTCACCTAGGCAAATTGTGAAGGCTGCATATTCCATATCGAACATTTTCACAAAGTCATGTTTATACGATTAAAGTAGCCTCAGTGGTTGAGAAAATAAGGAGCAAAAGGTTAGCGTGGTATGGGCATGTTATGAGAAGCTATGAATCGCATGTAACAAGAAGGACGTTAGTTATAAATGTGGAGGTACACCGGTAGCGGTAGACCTAGAAAGAGATGGATGGAATGCGTGAAAGGTGACATGATCAAGAAGTGATGACTGAGATGACAGATGATAGAGTTATTTGGAAGACGAAAACCTGGTGTGCCGACCCTACGGGAGTAGGATAAAGCAGGAGAGATGATGACATGTTTATACGATTTTTAACAATCAATATTTCTTTCATGCAACACTAAGATACAAAAGTTGTGTCTGCTTTTTCTAAGCGAATAAAGTCCCTTTCAGACAAATTCACGGAAATAATATTTACGTTTGCATAGGAACGTTAGTCTTTTTTCACAATATCCCGATAGTACCTATTTGCTAATCTATTTTGTCAGGCACGTCGACGCGCAAGCCGCGTATCAACCCAGCACTTGCGGCTGCGCAGGCGGCAGGCAGTACCTCACAGAAGCGGCCACGGTCCACCTCACTAAAGAAGAAGCGACGACATCCACCACGGCTCAGCAACGTCGATAGGAGCTCCGCACAGACTAGAGAAGTACGTTTATTATGTAGCTGTGGTTATCACATCGGTTTTAATACTGTACAGTCGCTGAAACCCGCGATGTTTAACTTACAGAAGTTGTCTTGTACTTTCCAATGAGACAAACTCCTTACTCTTATAGATAACCAATCTTCTTACTAATATTGTAACTTGCTTTCGCTCGCGACTCCGTCCGCGAACAATTATAACAAAAAGTGAGTAGCCTAAGTGTATTTCCAGTCTACAAACTCTAATAAACATCCATCCATCCATCTAAACTTTCGCGTTTATAATATTAGCAAGATAGCAAGATACGAAAGTTTAGACGGATGGATGTTTGTTAGAGTAGAGGTAAACTGCTAAACGGATCTCTATAAAATTTGGCGTATATGTAGTGAATAGTCTGAAAGAACACCTCTTATTTTTTTTATTTTAATATTCTACGCGAACGGAGTCGTGGGCGAAAGCTAGTTAAATATTCTTATTACATCTGAGTGCAACAGTTAATTTCAACTATTAGATATTTTTTAATTTGCGTTCCTTTCATTTCTGCTGCTATGTTCCTTTGCAGCAACCTTATCGCCTTTAATTGTTCACTTTTTTATTCTTTATGCATTACTGATTCTTTTGTTTTCCGCAAGCCCTTTTTACGTACTTTTTTAATGTACTTCTACGTTATTAATAGGTAACGGTAAGCGGTGTCACAGTTGTGATAACAGAATACAAGCCGAAGAAATCCGTCTCCAGCAGTTCCAGCGATGTGGAATCCTCTAATGACACGAGAACTTGATCTCTATCTAAAATATAAGATAACAAATTTATTGCCGAATTCAATATTCGATCCTTGGATTGATCTGAAGATTATTTTAATTTTACACTTTATCTACACTTTCTTAAGTCTATCTTTTCATTTTTTTCTTTATCTTATAATGATATTGGCTGTCAGATCAAATACCAAGGATTACTTCAATTTTATTGTTTAAACATTTTTAAATTGTGTTTTATAATCTGGATTCGTGTTCTCAATAATGAAAAGTTCGTTTATTTGCTAAGTGCTGAAGGAACTAATTGAAATGTTATACAATGGTGTGTAACCATCGTCTAAGAATCATTATTTGAATACCATCGTATAAAATAACGCAAAAAAGTATAGCATTGATAGAACAGTGGCATACGTACATCGTTGACTAAACTGTCGCACAACTGTTTAGTCGCGCAATGATTCCTATGAGCTTATATGAAGATATGGAGGTACACTCGATTTTTAGTTGTGCAACTAAACAGTTGAATTGCGTAACAATCGAACAGTTGTGCGATTATTTAGTCAGAAGTGTACGCCCGTTCTAAAGAAAACGATTGTATATAATGAATTTGGAATGTTATGTTGGTAGTACGGAATACGGCTATTGGAATGTTTTTTTTTATTTATTTTTATTTTGTCTGCGACAATTTGGTTTTGTAAATTTAACATAGATGAATTTAATGGAATTTATTTATTTATATTACTATTTTATGATTATTTTTTATTTGATTTGATTTTAAAAGTAATTTGTATATAGAAAAGGACCAGCGGTCACTGCCAACTAGAGAATTGTAAATAAAAATGCTTGAATTTAATTAATAACTTATTGATATTTAAAAATTAATTAAAAAATTGCTATGAAGGAAATGGAGATGTTTCAAAGTAAAAGAAATTTGGAATGAAATACGCGACGATGGTAGACGAGACTAACGCACTTTACGTCTAAACATTGATGTTATGCAGGCAACACACGTTAGAATTTTCATGACAATTTTGATTTTGCAATCTTAACCAAAAGATACGATTACATCACAACTCTGCAGTTCTTTTACACACATATTACGATTTTTCTCGAATTTATGCAAGTTCAAAACCATCATTGAAAACCTAATGTGTGTGGCTCACATTACTGTCAAGTTCTGTTCCTGTTTTACGACCACTATGAATGAAGAGGACTATGTCCGAGGTTACTACCTAGATCTAAATGTATTACTGCTTAGTGAAAAGCCTTAAAACTACAACATTTTTAAGGCTTTATAATTCGTGTTTGATAGAATTTTTATATTGACACTACAGCAAATAATTAATGATTTCATGTGTTTTTAAATACAGTTTTTTATAAATGGTGACACTTGACGTGTTATTACAAGAAATGGATGTTTCCCCGTTTAGTCGATCTGTCCAATGGGAAAAATGAATCCCATTGAGTCCATCTAATGATTAACCAATCAATAATATAATCGATCGCATCAATGGGTCTATCGTTGGGCATACATTCAAAATTTACAACGGATTGTGTGTATTTATAGAGGAACACTGTCTACTCTGTCTACATTGTTTAATGTCTACTCTTTGTGCGTTCCTGTACCTAATCTAACAAAAATCTATCGCTGGTTGAAACAAAAAAATAAACAAAAATGGTAAAATACCAAAACATGATAATCACCTAACATAGAGTGTTATTGTCAGTTCCATAAAATTTTGATACTATTTAATTGTCAATTTTAATTGAAGATACTGTATTTTGAATGAGATTTTTTAAGGGGTCAGGGCAACGCCTCCGTATTTTTACGTTCCATTTCTAATAAATTGTGTTCTATGCAGTATCTAGTGCGAAATTCCGAGCCGCTATGGAGCTTGAATGGCATTATACAATATTGAATCAACATTACAAGACAATGCATCAATTGGAATGTTTAAAATAAACATTTATATTGTTACTGTACTGGAATCACGTGATACCTCAGTCCTATGACGTCACAGGCTATGTAACAAGACTGACGACTGAATATTGAAACGAATCTTACTTCGCTTCTTAAACGTTTGCAGAACTCGTAGTGTAATGGATATTCCGTCGTTTCATTACTCGGCCGTAAAACATCCGGTGGTTAAATTCATATAAAAAAGTAAATATTTGGAATATTTTAATGTATCGATTTGAGCAACTAACTAAAACAATTTTTATGTCAAAATCTCAGAACGCACAAATATTTATTAAAATAAAAAAAATAATTCATTAACTTTATATGCTCTGTCACTATTATTTTGAATTTGAGTGTACAGATATTGCATATCGATAACCGTGGGTTTTCACTGAAACATTTGTGTAGTGTGTACATATGACATCTCTTAATGTCACGATCACACAGAATAAATCTAATGGTTTAATATTTAAGACAAGAAAAAATATGCATAGAAAACAAGATTAAGAGCCCATGCCCTCTACACATCTTCAATTATAACTACAGTTATTTAGTCAGTGTCAGTTTTGTCTATTCGTGAAGATAAAACGATTGTACAGTTAAAACTGAAGGTGTGTAGCTGGCTTTATTATCTTTTGGGCTCTAAATGCAATGTATTTTTGACCGACTTCCCAAAAGAAGGAGGTACTCAATTCGTCTGTATGTTTTTTTATGTGTGTTACGGCACAATTGTAATTAAGTATGTATAGACATTGTTACCAAAAACTCCAATCAATCGTGACGTCTATGTAACTAAGTATTTATTTTAAGTTTAAGTTTGTATTAAGTTATTTAAAACACGTATTTTAATTTATATCTACTGCATAATTTCTTAATAATCACACTTTAGCGTTTTATTGCCATACCCAGAGACGTTTAATGGACCCTTAGGGCGTTCTTCGTATTGTGAAATCCACACTAAGGGTTAAATAACTATTAAACGACTGAGTGTGGTAGTCAATTAATAGGTAAGGTTTTCTTTGCTGTTTATAAGAGGGACCAAGAATTTAGTATTTTTTCTACCCTCGTAAATGTATGGAGGTTCTTGTATTGTTTTTTATGTGCTTGACAGCCCCACCTGATAAAACTATAAGCGTGTAAGTCTAGTGTGCGGGCTTTTTTTTTGTTTAAATTGTCAGAATATTATTTTCATTGTGCAATCAGTTTAATTATAGGCTTACTAGGATATCTGGCCCGATGAGACGGCCGTTATCCAAATAAGATAAGTCAGAAAATATTTAAAACTAACATATAATTGTAATGAAAGAAAATAAGACGACAAATACAATGTGACACTCTTTTAACGTTTACAGGTGTCCTTTTTGTGCTATTATAATTTACTTTGACGTATGCCCACCGGGCCAGATACCCTAGGCGTTCTATAAAAGCGAAAATCAAAAATAAAAATCCATTTATTTCTATAGAGATCTTAGGCGTTCAGGCCTTTTGGCGTTTTTATTGAAATTTAAGATGAAACCTGTCCATTGTTTGAGGAGTGTTTATGCCATCACAATTTTAATACGACTTGAGTAATCACAATATGACATTGTTTAAAGGAATGAAATTAAATTTCAGATTTTTTAATGAAATCGACGTTTTTACCTTTTATGACGATGGCCCATAGCCCATAGCTCAAATGTTAATTTAGTTGGGCTTAGTATTTAAAGATGTTCGATTTTATATCGATGAAAATTAGTATTTTTATAAGAAAGTTTGACATTAAAACGTTCTAGAATAAAAGCAGCTTTTTAGTGAATCGATGGATTAGTAAACCTGCCGTATATTGCTTTATGAAATAAGGGAAGTTTTCGACTGACGAGGGGATGATGTATTTAATGCTCGTTCAATTATTACCCTATTCGTGGTAAAAACGGCAGATTAAAATAAAGTTTTTCGATTGTTTTTCATTCCCAGAGTGTAGAGATTTAGGTGTTTTTTATGAAGAAGTAACCATAATGAATGTTTAACATTTTTTACGAAATGTAAGTACTAGTATATAGATTTAGGTTTTCGAATTTTAATTTATCACAATTTTAAATATTATAGTATTACTTATTCTTTGTTTAATAATTACTTGCTTTGATTAACTTAACTTCTTTCAATTTAAATTATTTCGTCATAACAGAATCAAATTAATCCGCCATCTTGGTTTTAATACTATTTTTTGGCGGGAACGACAAGACTTTTTCAATTGTATTTTAATGTATGTTAACTTATTGTAATAGTATGTTTAAAAGTTAATTATTTTTAAGTTTAAAGTACTGTATATAAAGGATGTGGAAAGAAATTAATTTGTTTTATTTAAACTTATTCACATAATTTTCTTCACATCGTGCTAGTCATAATAAAGATACAGATTCTAAAATTTAAGTCAGTAAATTAAACAGATTATACAAATAAACAAAAAATGATACAGATTAAAAAGAATGTGCCTCCGACTTATGGAATCTTCCAGCTTTATTTTCCCACGGCACAGACTAAATAGAGAGATCTGACGGGACTTGACAGCAGAGTAAAACAACGTAATTGAACTTGTAAATTCCCACCTGGCAGTTTTGTAGCTTTATCGGTTATCCCAATGCTTTTCGTTTTATCGCACTTTGATTTTTTTATTTAATGACAAACGAGCCAGCGGCCATCTGAATTCGCGAAAATAGCGAAATTAGTAGTAGTTCATGTACGAAACTATTATAAATATCGATTTTTGCATCCATTCCGACAATCCATAGGTGGCATTAAAATTAGCACCAGATGTTTTCACACTACCTAATTAACTAACACGCAAACGCGAAAGAAATTCCTTTTCACTAATTTAACAGTTCATCAGATCGTGGGAGAAAATCGTTCGCTAAATTGACGGTAAGTTCTAAGAGTACTAATTTGTTATAATTTTAATTTGTTACGTAGCAAGTATTGTTGGTACTAAATCTTATATTCGTCTGGTACTTTTCGAGGACCGAAATCGAATTCACTACTTAACACTTCGCCTTTTTTCTTTGATATTTTTTTGTTATTGACAGAAAGGCGCTAGTGTGCTATCATAGTTAGTTGAATTTGTGCCGGGTCAAAGAACATTATCCTATATCCCTAAAAGCTCCAATTTAGCCGCTAGAAAAATGACTTGTCATTAAAGATAATATAAAAAAGTAATCAGTGTTTTGCGCTCAATAAACTTGAGGTCTCAGGTCAGATTTTTTTCGATATACCCTATTTAACGACGAGGATGTGTGATAAAAGTTTGAGTACGGACACCTTGCTGTAGGGTTACCACAAACAACTGCAGGACCTTTTTGATCAATGATTTACATTTATTCCTTTACGCTTACAATATTTATGTCCTCAATACGTCACTGACGAGCATATCTGATAGAT